GTTTTGGCAAGTTGTAGAGCTATTCAGCAGCTTCCGAACAACGTCGAGTTTGTCTAGAATTTCCTATGTTAAGGTAGTTTTTGATCGAGACATAGAGAGGCGGTGTTGCATGGCGCTGACAGGCCTTGCTATGGCATGTACTGCACAAAACGCAACTAGCGGGTGTGAGTGACTACATCTTGCATTTTCTCCACAATTCTTGGGTCTGAAGACTTGCTTGTTTTGGCAGGTTGTAGAGCTATTCAGCAGCTTCCGAACAACGTCGAGTTTGTCTAGAATTTCCTATGTTAAGGTAGTTTTTGATCGAGACATAGAGAGGCGGTGTTGCATGGCGCTGACAGGCCTTGCTATGGCATGTACTGCACAAAACGCAACTAGCGGGTGTGAGTGACTACATCTTGCATTTTCTCCACAATTCTTGGGTCTGAAGACTTGCTTGTTTTGGCAGGTTGTAGAGCTATTCAGCAGCTTCCGAACAACGTCGAGTTTGTCTAGAATTTCCTATGTTAAGGTAGTTTTTGATCGAGACATAGAGAGGCGGTGTTGCATGGCGCTGACAGGCCTTGCTATGGCATGTACTGCACAAAACGCAACTAGCGGGTGTGAGTGACTACATCTTGCATTTTCTCCACAATTCTTGGGTCTGAAGACTTGCTTGTTTTGGCAGGTTGTAGAGCTATTCAGCAGCTTCCGAACAACGTCGAGTTTGTCTAGAATTTCCTATGTTAAGGTAGTTTTTGATCGAGACATAGAGAGGCGGTGTTGCATGGCGCTGACAGGCCTTGCTATGGCATGTACTGCACAAAACGCAACTAGCGGGTGTGAGTGACTACATCTTGCATTTTCTCCACAATTCTTGGGTCTGAAGACTTGCTTGTTTTTGCAGGTTGTAGAGCTATTCAGCAGCTTCCGAACAACGTCGAGTTTGTCTAGAATTTCCTATGTTAAGGTAGTTTTTGATCGAGACATAGAGAGGCGGTGTTGCATGGCGCTGACAGGCCTTGCTATGGCATGTACTGCACAAAACGCAACTAGCGGGTGTGAGTGACTACATCTTGCATTTTCTCCACAATTCTTGGGTCTGAAGACTTGCTTGTTTTGGCAGGTTGTAGAGCTATTCAGCAGCTTCCGAACAACGTCGAGTTTGTCTAGAATTTCCTATGTTAAGGTAGTTTTTGATCGAGACATAGAGAGGCGGTGTTGCATGGCGCTGACAGGCCTTGCTATGGCATGTACTGCTGACGGCCTTGCTATGGCATGTACTGCACAAACGCAACTAGCGGGTGTGAGTGACTACATCTTGCATTTTCTCCACAATTCTTGGGTCTGAAGACTTGCTTGTTTTGGCAAGTTGTAGAGCTATTCAGCAGCTTCCGAACAACGTCGAGTTTGTCTAGAATTTCCTATGTTAAGGTAGTTTTTGATCGAGACATAGAGAGGCGGTGTTGCATGGCGCTGACAGGCCTTGCTATGGCATGTACTGCACAAAACGCAACTAGCGGGTGTGAGTGACTACATCTTGCATTTTCTCCACAATTCTTGGGTCTGAAGACTTGCTTGTTTTGGCAGGTTGTAGAGCTATTCAGCAGCTTCCGAACAACGTCGAGTTTGTCTAGAATTTCCTATGTTAAGGTAGTTTTTTGATCGAGACATAGAGAGGCGGTGTTGCATGGCGCTGACAGGCCTTGCTATGGCATGTACTGCACAAAACGCAACTAGCGGGTGTGAGTGACTACATCTTGCATTTTCTCCACAATTCTTGGGTCTGAAGACTTGCTTGTTTTGGCAGGTTGTAGAGCTATTCAGCAGCTTCCGAACAACGTCGAGTTTGTCTAGAATTTCCTATGTTAAGGTAGTTTTTGATCGAGACATAGAGAGGCGGTGTTGCATGGCGCTGACAGGCCTTGCTATGGCATGTACTGCACAAAACGCAACTAGCGGGTGTGAGTGACTACATCTTGCATTTTCTCCACAATTCTTGGGTCTGAAGACTTGCTTGTTTTGGCAGGTTGTAGAGCTATTCAGCAGCTTCCGAACAACGTCGAGTTTGTCTAGAATTTCCTATGTTAAGGTAGTTTTTGATCGAGACATAGAGAGGCGGTGTTGCATGGCGCTGACAGGCCTTGCTATGGCATGTACTGCACAAAACGCAACTAGCGGGTGTGAGTGACTACATCTTGCATTTTCTCCACAATTCTTGGGTCTGAAGACTTGCTTGTTTTGGCAAGTTGTAGAGCTATTCAGCAGCTTCCGAACAACGTCGAGTTTGTCTAGAATTTCCTATGTTAAGGTAGTTTTTGATCGAGACATAGAGAGGCGGTGTTGCATGGCGCTGACAGGCCTTGCTATGGCATGTACTGCACAAAACGCAACTAGCGGGTGTGAGTGACTACATCTTGCATTTTCTCCACAATTCTTGGGTCTGAAGACTTGCTTGTTTTGGCAGTTGTAGAGCTATTCAGCAGCTTCCGAACAACGTCGAGTTTGTCTAGAATTTCCTATGTTAAGGTAGTTTTTGATCGAGACATAGAGAGGCGGTGTTGCATGGCGCTGACAGGCCTTGCTATGGCATGTACTGCACAAAACGCAACTT